CAGTTCTCTCAGAGCTGTTCTCTCAAGAGCAGTTCTCTCAGAGCTCTCTCAGCCCCACCTACTTGACAGGGTATCTGTCGTGGGGAGAAAAAGGGAAGGAGATTGTAGGCTGTTCTGAGACTCGGAGTGAAGGACAGGGTATAAATCCAATCTCTTCTGCTTCTCCTCCTTTTCTGTCCAGAAGACACCCAAGTTTGATTGCTTGTGGCTCCATGTCACCAGCACATAGGCGCATAGCAGTGCAATAGTGCACAGCAGTTCACTTGCACCACCAAATTTACAGAGTACACCAACGATCACAGCTAGCCCTACCCACCCTAATGTGCCACCTTAGTTCCCCTATCCCCATGCACCAACGTCATGTAAACATTTATTTGTATACTGATTTATTAAGTTAAATTTCTAGGCCGCCCTTCCCTGTAAACAGGGCTCAGGGTGGAGTACAACAAACAAAATACAAGCATAAGATAAATTCACAGTTAAAAGCAATCAAAGTAGAACAGTGGGACAACTGGCCCAATTAGATGGCGCCAGGCAACATTCAGAAGTTTACCTACCAGGCAATCCCATGTTGTCTTGTTTGCGTGGCCATGGCAACTGTGGGCATGACCCATGGCAACTTGCAACAATACGTTACTCCCCTGAGCCTTTTTCTTTATTTTTGCATGTAGCCTGTAATGATTTCTGTAACCTTTTCCATGCTGCTTTATGGTAAAATTGCACTTTGCTGTCTGGGAAGATAGTGATTTGAACGACAACGGTAGATAACCCATCGTCTTGGGGGGGGGGGAGCGGAAAACTAGCCCCCTCTTAAGAAGCTGCATCCTAACCATGCAATTGGGAATTCCTTTTGAATAGTCATATGGTTTTGATTGCAAATGATGTTAATACACACCCAGGGCACCGTGTGTTATCATCTGAATGTAAAGCAATGCGACAAATTCTTTTTCCCCAGCTTCCTTCAGCGTAGCTGTTGGCTTGATGTTTCACTTCAAGTGGCGGCACTTCTGTTTGCTGCGTGCCCGCTTTCTTTAAGCGCCAATAGTGATAATGGGTTTTGTGCAGGGTGTTAGCCAAATTGCCTTGAATTATTAATTAGTCTAGGGGAAGTTATGATTATTAACTGGCAATAGGTAAATTAGGGTTCACACCAATGTATACAGAAGTCCCACCTTTGCTGCAAGCATCAGAACAGACACAGAGACTGTATTCAGTAAAATATAATGTCTTTTTCCTGAAGGATATGTATCATTCAAACAATACACAAACACACACACATTTATACTTATATTAAGAAATAAAGTTAAGTCCTTAACACAGTTGCATTAGCAGGACATTCGTTGGTTGGGATATATTTACCTGTCCTCATTGGTTGAGCCATTCCAATGGAAGAATGGAGGGGTTTAGAAATAGAAAATGGTGAACACGTGCTCTGAACCAGCAGAACCACGTGGACTCTAGCTGCAGACTAGAGGTTAAAGATGGAGGTAGGGTATGTGGATAGCAAGCAGGACATAAGAGGGTTAAAGCTTCGACAGGGGTCGTGGAGAGGGTAAGTAAGAGAGAGACCATGTGGTCGGGCAGCATCTTTTATAACGTGGTGGGGCTGGCTAGGCTGGCCACATCCCCTTGTGACACCTTCTGTTAGTCCGTCCCATAAAACATAATATTGGCTGGCTGGAAGAGGGGAGTGGGACTAAGGAGTGGTCAATATTGAGAGCTGGAAACTTAGACTGAGGACTGGCACCTGGATGAAGGATGATTGAATCATCAGGCTAGGGCTATTGTCTCTTGATGGCCCTAGCCTGATGGGTGAGCAATTAGTTGCTATTCAACCATGAATAGAGTCTCTTGATTAGATTTGTAGGTAGCTGGGAGAGGGGGAAGAGAAGTTGCCTACATGTGTTGGAAGAAGCTCCTAATGGCGTCTGGAGTTCTCTGTCCTCATGATTTTCCATGGCATGGCATTTGAGGTTTTGTACAGGCTTATGGAACTGCTTCATCTCACAGCAGGTGAGATGTCTGATGACTCTGGATTAACACTGTGGCAGCAACACTAAAGAAATGCGTCCCTCTCTTAGGTGTGCAGTCTCAACAGGTATTCTCAGGTCTCCATATTGTACAGTCCCTTTGCACAGTTCACATTCCATAAAAACACATTGATAGGCTTGCATGGCAACATGGGAACTATATTTAGATGTTTCCATCTGAATATAATTTGTGGGGTTATATCTGCAAATAGCCCCTTTATGTAGGAACAGTCTGTCCTGTTCTTGAATATGCATTTTCTAAGAGCTGCAATCAAGGATGCCACACATTGTGATCCTATTTGTATCCGGTTTTCTTTTTATACGAGCAAGGAAGCTCAGGCATTATTGCCTTGAGTTCAGGTTACTATGGGTTTCTGACGAACTTCCCCACATTCTCCAATGGTTCCAGAATGGGATAGTCTTAGGCTTATGGGTAAACTACTCCCTTTTAGGTAGTCGTCTGGCTTAAAATGGAATCGGGAAGGGAGGGGGGCTTCACTTAGGTCCCCAGACTGGCCCTGTCTGGCTAGCAGGCAGTAAGTCCTTGCCTTAGCTCTTAAAGATAACTTAACACTAGTCTTTGTTTTAGGCATTTTCCTACAACTCCTCAGGGTTTCATCAGTCAAGGCCTGGAGGTCACAGAGGAACTGCCACTCCATCCTGGTGTAGTTGTTGAGAGCAGTGGACTCTAACCCGGAGAACCGGGTTTGATTCCCTACTCCTCCACATGAGGCCTGCTGGGTGACCTTGGACCAGTCACAGTTCTCTCAGCTCTCAGCCCCACCTACCTCACCTGTTGTGGGGAGAGGAAGGGAAGGTGATTGTAAGCCCATTTGAGACTCCTTAGGGCGGAGAAAAGTGGGGCATAAAACACAACTCTTCTTCTTGCAGTGGTGGTAGCTTTCTTTCCAACTGAAGCACATTCCCACAATCCTTTGCTTATCCCTCCATTTGCACAACCGGGGAAGGCTTTGTGCACCATCTGGGCAGCCAGTGAGGGGAGTCTAGTAGCCTCTTCTACCCACTCCCAGCTGGGCAAGGAGCCCAGCAGCAAATCCACCTTCTCTCACGTCGAGAGAAGGGTCTGCATGCCAATGGAAGGGCATGGCTCCAAGGGGGCATTCATGGTTTCTTTTCCCTGGCCCAGCTAGGAATGAGATGCAGCAGCTAGGCTACCATGATCCAGACCCACACACAGCTTGTCATGCCTATGGGAGGCATTGTAGCTCAGTGGTAGGGCATCTGCTTTGGCATGCAGAAGGTCCCAGGTTTGATTCTTGACATCTCTGATTTAAAGGCAGTAGGCGGTGATATGAATGACCTCTGCCTGAGACCCTGGAGAGCTGCTGCCTGTCTGAGTAGACAATATTGACCTTGCTGGAGTGATGGTCTGATTCAGCTAAGGCAGATTCGTGTTTTGATGTGTGACCACATTTGGTTTTGTGGCAGCTACCACCATTTTAGAAGTGGGGGGTGACTCAGCATTGAGCAATATTGGCCCCGGTCACACGGGCAGGAAAATGCGGGGGGGGGGAGTGTGGCTGTTTGCCCCGGAGCAAAATAATGCGCGGTTGTGCGATCAGACGTCCCGTAGAGGTCCTGTGGTTAGGGGGGAGGTGCCGATCACAGGACAGTCCTGCGGCGCGGCAAAGAAGCGGCCTCTCTAGCAAAAGGCTCCGCGGGTTTAACCCCTTCCAGGGCTGCAGAGGAATGCAAACTGTGTCCTCCGTCCGGTCCCCTCCAGGAGGAGCTTCAGCCGGGCCGCCCTCAAGCCACACACCCCCTTCACCTCCCCCTTTGCCGCCCGGTCCACAGAGTTCCTCTCGAGCAGGCCGAGGCAGGAGTGGGGGGGGTACGGAAAAGAGGAGGGGGCTGTGTTGTTTGTTTTTAAACGAAGTGTGCGCATGCGCCATTGGGTGCTTGTGCGCATCCCATGGAGACTTGGAAAAAAAACCCTTTTAGCGACGGGACATGGGCGGGCACCGGATGCCACGACCTACCACCGGAAACGCTATCAGGCGCCCGCCCTTGCCCCGTGGTTTCCGGAAACTAGTACCTCGGAGGTACTAGTTTTTTACCCCGCATCTTTGGCGGGAAGCCTTGGGTTCTCCACGGGAGCTCTACGCTTCCCAGATGTGGCCCTGTGATCGCGCCCGGAAAGTCCGCCTATCTTCCATCTCTGTAGTGTGGCTAATGCTCCGTGTGACCGCAGCCATTGAGGCTTTTCTGTACTGATAGAAAGGAGAACTGTTGTTGGTTGAAGAACTGATGAAACGTTAACTGCTTCAGATTTCTCACTGCTGTGGTCGTGTCCCCCCCACCCTCAGATTGACTCGTTGGTCTTGTTGAGACATCATAGCTAAGCCTTCAGAATGTTCCATCCTTCTCGCATTCTTGCCAGTTCGGTTTCTCTCTAATCTGGTTTTCAATAGTTTATTGTGGCATCTGGATTGGTAAACTGTAGTTGCTGTTAACCAGAACTGGATTTCTGCTTGCGGTTTGGAGTTTCATCTTGATGGTGAAGGGTGACCAATAATTTGCCTGATTTGGATGTCGTGTCAACCGATACTTCCAGGGGATGGTCTGAAGTCAGATGTCACAGAATCCTCACTGAAGCTAAGCCAGTCCAGGTTTAGACAGTGCCTGAATCTGAGACGTCCCAAGAGCCATATATAAGGTGCCTCGAGTCGGAAGGGTGGTAGAATACAGGTTTAATTACTAATGAAAAATTTTAAAAAGAGGGTTGTTACAAATGAAGAAGTGGGTAAGGAACCCCACTGCATGTTCCTGAGGACTAACCCGTGGTTTGGCCATGACATCTGAACTAGGCTTGTGTGGGTGAAGAAAACAGGAGGAGAGCTGTCTGACGGATTGGCCACCACAGAATAAATGACAGTTATCAACAAACACTATGAAGATCGCGATTTGCAAAATTTAAAGATGGTCAATCTTGCTTCTCTTTTAAATCAGAGCAAAGAAAGAATTATGCACGAGATAGTGCGAGCAGCATCTCTGAAACGTCGCAGTACCATGTGGAGGTAAGACATTTTCTCCTGAAAATAAAAAAAGAACTGTTTCTGGGTCTGAGGGATTAAACACTGATTCACTCATCCCTGTCATGGGACCTGCCAATATGTTTCCTGATGCCCACTTCCTTCCTCCTCGAAGCAGAGCGCCAGTCCTGGCTTGTTTTCCACCTCAGCATAGCAGAAGGCATTTCAGAAGACCCTGTAGGCATTACCTTGGTGTCTGCAGGAAGCACGCATTTGGAAAGAGCAGCATCTGTCAAGTGGAAATGCTTGGATCGGAGCAGCCCAACATTTTGTGTTTGTCCCCAGCTTTTGTGGCAGTAGGGTTGCCAACCTCCAGGTGGGGCCTTGGGACCCCCTGTTATTACAACTGATCTCTAGATAATAGAGATTAGTTCCCCTGGAGGAAATGGCTGCTTTGGAGGCTGAATTCTGTGGTATTATACCCTGATGAAGTCCCTCCTCTCTTCAAACCCCACTTTCCCCAGGTTCCACTCCCAAAATATCCAGGTATTTCCCAACCCAAAGCTGGCAGCCCCACATGGCAGCCATTTTGTGGTCCACTCACTGCTTGTCTCAAAATTCCAAAAGTGCCCACAGGCTTAACAAGGTTCGGGAATCTCTGTACTTGTTTCTGGTTTATCTACGTGATTACAACTTTCTACAATATATTGAATTAGTGTAGTATAGTGAAGAGTGTGTCGGATTTAAACAAGGAGGTGCTGATTCTCTCCTCTAACTTGCAACGTCCTTGGTTACATATTGTTTTTAAAAAGTCATGAGGGAAAAATAACCATGCACATCCTTAGCTGACTTGCGCCTTTAATTTAAGGAGATAGCCATCTATTTTTTTTAAAGAAGGATTGATCATGCCTAGAAATTCATTTACTCAGTCTCATTATTTATTGACTGCATTCTCAGATGATTTAGCTGTTCTTTATGGCATCTCAGAATAATGGAATATTTATGGATCGTGTATATTTAAGTCTCTTTGGCAATATAATTCCTGGCTGAGAAGCAGGTAAGAGTTAAATATGGAAAACAAATGTGTTAAAAAGTATTGGGTTTTTTGTTCGTTTGTTTGCAAGCCACCTCGAAGACATCTTTAAAAGGTGATTTTTTTTTTAAAAAAGCACCCTAATAAATGCTCCCACCTCTCCCTTTTAAAATGATGTGTCTTTAATCTGTTCTTATTTGCCGCAAATCTTCTTGTCTTCCAGCACCTGACCACTTTTGTTTTGGATCGGAAAGAGGCCATGATCACGGTAGACGATGGGATACGGAAGCTGAAACTGCTCGATGCCAAAGGCAAGGTGTGGACGCAAGATATGATTCTCCAAGTGGATGATAAAGCTGTCAGTCTGGTGGACTTGGAATCCAAGGTACAAAAGCCCTTGATATGGCTGCCTTATGGAGATTTTTTTTTTTTAAATGCCAGGGTTTCGTATATTTGAGAACTGGTTTATTTTTATTTCTCACTTGAGCTGAAGGCAGATTATACAGAATGAGTCAATACAATCCACAGAATGGGGCATTCAGTAAGCAGCGCGATAGGATTAGGGTTGTAGAACCGACCAGATGTCTAAAAACAGATCCGAAGCAAAACATAAGTATTGATATGACAACATTAAATGGTGCAGAATTCCGTAGGAGGATTCATAGAATTATAGAATCGTAGAGTTGGAAGGGCCCTCCAGGGTCCTCTAGTCCAACCCCCCTGCACATTGCAGGAAATTCACAACTATCTCCCCCACACACACACCCAGTGATTCTTGCTTCATGCCCGGAAGATGGCAAAAAACCCCTTCAGGATCCCTTGCCAAACTGGCCTGGAGAACGATTGCTTCCTGACCCCAAAGTGGCAATCAGCATTTCCCTGAGCATGTAAGAAAGGGCCATGAGAACTAAGCACTGTTGCAGCCCTCCCTCTGGTGATCTGCCTAAGTTCACAGAATCCGCATTGCTGTCAGATGGCCATCTAGCCTCTGCTTAAAAACCTCCAAAGATGGAGAGCCCAACACCTCCTGAGGAAGCCTGTTCCACTGAGGAACCGCTCTGACCAGTGTTCCCTCTGAGTTAGTGTGAGCTAGCGCACGGTTTTTTAGCCTCTGGCTCACACATTTTTGTCTCAGCTGAGGAAGGATGGCCCCAGAGCAAACTAATTTATGTAGAAGCCAAATCACTTGCTCACAACTTTAATGCCAGTAGCTCACAAAGTAGAATTTTTGCTCACAAGACTCCACAGCTTAGAGGGAACATTGGCTCTGACTGTCAGGAAGTTCTTCCTAAGGTTTCACCGAAAACTCTTTTGTTTTAATTTCATCATGTTGGTTCTGGTCCGACCTACTGGGGCAACAGAAAACAACTCTGCACCAACTAGTTTCCAGCTTCCACAAGCTATACGTAGTAGTATGGACCATTCATAATTTTTTCTAAGTAGTAACTTTCCGAATCATTTAGTTTAGTGCAAGTTCCACAAGGTGGGGGTAACAACGGAGAAGGCACGTGGACGGGCAGTTGTTTTTACTCAGTATAATCCCCACTGAGCTTTTCCAGCATCGATGCAGTGAGGCTTTGATGCGGTGACGTTAACTAGTAATTGATGGATTTCCTCTCTCTCTCCCTCCGCCCCGGGCATCCCAAATCTCCCTACAGAATGAACTGGAGAACTTCCCCCTGAGCACCATTCAGCATTGCCAAGCTGTGATGAGCTCCTGCAGCTACGATTCCATCCTTGCCTTAGTATGCAAAGAGCCAGCACAGAGCAAAGCTGATCTTCATCTTTTCCAGTGTGATGAGATTAAGGTAAGGCAAAGACAGAAACTCCAATGCCCGGGACTTCACTTCCTGGTTTTTGTTTTCTGTTTTATATAAGAAGATAAAAACTGCCGGGTGCATCTGAGTTCGGTGTAGTCTAACACGTCGGCTTACACTCGGCTGCCTCTGAAAGCTTTGGAAGCAGGACTTGGAGGGGAATACCTGCCCTCTTTTTAATACCAACAGTCAAGACCAGGCAGGTGGAAAAGAGTCAGGCAAACCCTCCAAGAATACATAGCACACAATGTATTTCTTACTCTCCTTTTACCTTTAATGCCCTCGTTGCTGTTCACAGTGAGTGCTTTTTGGCTGATCTGATCTCTGTGTCTTACCGTGGTTCCATTACCTGTGTTTTTTCCCCTTGCCCTCTTCCTCATTGTTCCAAGAAGTATATAATGCTTCATAGATAGTTTTCTGCCATGTTTGATACAGATGGCATTAGATGGGCCTGTAGTAATTATTGTTTTCCAGAAAGAAGCATGATATAGCGTTTCCAGTTCTCCCCTGGCCACGGGTGGGAAATGGAGGGGTACAGTTGCCAGATCCAGGTTGGGAAACTCCTGGAGGTTTGGGGATGGAGCCTGGGGAGGACGGGGACCTCAGTGGGGCGCAGTGCCCATAGAGTCCCCCCTCCAAAGCATCTGTTGGCTCCAGGAGAACTGATCTCTGTGGTTGGGAGAGGAGCTGCAATTCCAGGGGATCCCCAAGTCCCACCTGAAGGCTGGAATCCCTAATTATATACCCAGTCTCTTTCCCACCTGGTCCAACCTTTTGGATCCTATTTCCAACAAAATGTAGTAATGCTTTGAAGTAGAAGGCCTCTTGTTTCTTGTAGTGGTTAAGTGTGCGGACTCTAATCTGGAAGAACCGGGTTTGAGTCCCCACTCCTCCACTTGCACCTGCTGATGTGACCTTGGGTCAGTCACAAGCTCTGGCACAGCTGTCCTTGAAAAAGAGCAGTTTGTGTCAGAGTTCTCTCAGCCTCACCTACCTCACAGGGTGTCTGTTGTGGGGAGGGGGAGGGAAAGGAGTTTGTAAGCCGCTCTGAGACTCCAAGTGAAGGGCGGGGTATAAATCCAATCTCCTCCTCCTCCTCCTCCTCCTCCTCCGCCTCCGCCTCCGCCTCCGCCTTCGCCTTATTCTTCGCCTTCTCCTCCTCCTTCTCCTTCTTCTTATAAAACCCTTACTTTTTCTCCATGTTTTACCGTTAAGTAGTGACATAATTGAAAGTAATGAAACCATATGGGGAAGTCGTTGTTTTGTCACCTATCGAGAGGAATACATTGACCGTCTTTTGTGACATCAATAAATCATATGACACAGTTTTAACCCAGGCTGATGAGTAATTGGCAGTTTTGAAATCAGAAATGTAAATAAAAGATGTTACCGGTGAGAGAGCATTTCTTCTCTTCTGAACTTGCAGTACAGCGATAATGAGGGGATGCATAATCCCATCATGCATTGCTGCAGAAGTAGATCCTTGTATTAGCATCCATAAATGAATGGGTCTAAAGGCTAATCCATTCAGATGTTTTCAGCTTAATTTTGGTGTGGGGATATCACTTCAGACTGGGTATTTTCAAGGTGTTATGGGATCTGGGAGAAACCCATTTTATATACAAAACTGAAGAAAGCCCTGTTTTCTTTAAACACAAAGTCTGAGATCATTGGGATGAGCACTGCTCCCAAGACCACTGCCTTCCAATACAGTTCTGGTTTTCATAGAAGCATGTCTTCCTCTTCTGTATCAGCTTATTTGGGAATTCTCTCTCCAAAAAAGGCCATCGGGCTCAATTGTTCCAAAATATTAAGAGAGCAGCGCAGGTTATGTTCCAGGAATTTTTTTTAGTTCTTTAGTTTTGAGTTTTAATGCCTATCTGTCATTTTGTAGCAGTAGATAAGAGCAAGAGTCCAGTAGTCTTGCCCTTTTCTACTGCTACAGACAGACTAACATGGTAACTCATCGTGATCTGTCATTTTGTGATATTTACTGCAAGCTGGGTGAGCTCTTTTCCCCAGGGGTGGGAGCCGGCTTGTCTCCTGTCCAGTCATTTCACACAGGAAAACTTACTTATCCTCCAGCGGTAGAACTGACCTCTGTGCCTTTGGGCCATTCTGTGGCTCTGCAGCCCATGAAGCACCATTATCTGGGGCTGCTTTAAGTGTTACGGGGGAGTACTGAAAGAGGGAATGCATTGTGCAAGTCGCACAATTTTATCTTATATTTACAGGGTACTTTGCAAAAGGAGCTGCGGTGGCTCAAGTGGTTAAGACGCTGAACTGCAGGCTGTGGAAGGTCGGTAGTTCAGCAGTTCGAGACCCGAGGTGCCGCATGACGGAGTGAGCTCCCGTCTCTAGTTCCAGCTCCTGCCAACCGAGCAGTTAGAAAGCAAGAAATTGCAAGTAGATAAATAGGTACCACTTCGGTGGGAAGGTAACAGCGTTCCGTGCGCCTTGGTGTTTAGTCATGCCGGCCACATGACCACGGAGAAGTCTTCAGACAGCGCTGGCTCTTCGGCTTTGAAACGGAGATGAGCACCGCAACCCTAGAGTCGGACTCGACTGGCTTTCGAGCAAGGGAGCCTTTATCTTTATCTTTATGCAAAAGGGAACATGTAAATCTCCCTCGAAAGGGTGATAATCTGCACTCCCAGAGCATGAGCAATTTACAGTTCTCCCCATAGGTGTAAGATGTGCATTGCATTATTGAGTTTCACCTCTTATTTATTTCCTTTTACAATCTCTCTGAAGAAAAGGTGGCTAGCCCAAGATCATCCAAGGGAATGTCACTGCCAAGGGGTTGGGTGGAAATAATCTCCCTGTCCTATTCTTGCGCTCTAACCACGATGAAGCACTGGCCCTCTCATTCGTTTTGCTAATCTACAGAGATGCCCTTAGGGTTTCCAGGTCCCCCCCCCCCCCCCCCCAAAAAACCACTGGCAGGCGATGGTGGGGTACGGTTGCCAGATTAATCATTGGTTTGATTAATGGAGAGGAATAAGATTACTGCCTGTAAACCGACCTGGTTGTTTGAAAGCTTGGGGAATCATAAAGCAGTTGAACGTCCAGGAGGCACAACAGATGTCCGCCTCCCGAGAACTTTAAATTTACACTTAAAACTGATGAAGTGATCTCAACAAACAGCATTCCCTCTCCTAGCTTCCCCTTAGAACTAGTTCACACTTTGCTGTAACACAGCTGTTCCATTTGCTGTGTGTTCACACACTTTTTCATGTCCGTGAATGAGCCCCAGCGGACGGGAAGGCACACATCTATAAATATTGAGCGGATATAGGCCAGGGGAGCCACAGCTAGTCATATTTTGTCTGGTGCACATCTGTCATCCGTCTCTGTCTGCCTAAGAGATGTGTCTCCCCTTTGCGTTTCCATGTGTTCACTATGAAGAAGGAAAAAACCTACCAGTTGAACATCCAGCAAAAATAAACTGTGAACTGACCGTCCCGTAAAATGTAACTTACAATGTGTGTGAAAATTTGATTAATGCTGGCAGGCCTTGGTAAGTCTTATGGAAGATCCAGAAGCTCAGGTACACCAGTAAATGTTGACAGAAACCTAAATGTGCTTTGCCAGCATTTACTGATGATTGTCCCCCAAGTGGGGGACATAAATATCTATTTCCCCCTTTGGGGGACTGGGGGACATTCCCAGACTCAGTTCAAAGGTAATTCCTAGGGTGTAGGCGGCAGAGGCAGCTCATGTTTACAGGCACTGTTCTGAAAAGTGAATTTTAAAAATGGCTGTTGGGCCTATGATGTAATGTCACTTCTGGTGAAAACCCAGAAGTGATGTCAGTCCTCTCTAGGAATATAGTTTTTCCAACTCTCCCCTATCCCTTCTCTCCAGTCTCCCGCCGGTTGCCATGTTAGGCCTGGCAACCCTCGTAATTCCAGAGGGGTAGCTGGATTAAACTTCTGAAGCAAAATAAAGCAGAACTCCAGTGACATCTTAAAGATTAAGAACAATTATTCCAGTGTGAGCTTTTGTGAGTCACAGCTCACTTCTTCAAATGCATTTCTTTCGTGTTTTACTCAGTTCAAAGGGACTGGGAAGTTATGAATGATACAGGAGGAGGGGGAGAGGATTGACTTTTTTAAAGGGAAGGGACTTGAGTGAAGGGAGAAGCTCTTTTGCTCAGATTGAAATGTAAAAATTTAAGATTATAACAGGGCTTTTTCGGTAGTGGCACCTTGCTTATGGAATGCCCTTCCCCTTTAGACTCACCTGACACCTACATTGTTTTCTTTTAGGCACCAAGCCAAAATGCCTCCATTCACCCAGGCAATTCACCCAAAATGGCTCAGTTCGCCCAATTGAGGGTCTGTTCTTTTTAAACACCATTTTTATAATGGGCTTTTAGTCTGAAACAGCATTCCGTGCACCTTGGTGTTTAGTCATGCCGGCCACATGACCACGGAAATGTCTTCGGACAGCGCTGGCTCTTTGGCTTTGAAACGGAGATGAGCACCGCAACCCTAGAGTCGGACTCGACTGGCTTTCGAGCAAGGGAACCTTTACCTTTACTTTTAGTCTGAAAACTGTTATTTTAAACTTCTCAGTGGCTGGGTTTAAAAAAAAATTATGGATTTTAATTACTAATTTTTAACATTTACTGTTTTATTTTATAAGACACCTCAGGCTGGTTCCCTGGAGAGACAGTATAAAATGTTTCTGAATAACTAATATTCCCTTCATCCTGCAAGCAAGCATTACAACCCCCCAAGGTTGATACTCTTGAGCTCTGCAAGTATGAACTGTTGCTGTGTTAATATTCCACAGTAAATGTTGACTAATTTATTTAGGCAACAGTCAGCTTTTACCAGTGCAACTCTAAATTTTTGAACATTCACGAAATTGTCTGGGATTATACCGGCATCATGTTTTTGGCCATCCGCTCTGTTGCTTTTAAGCCTTAGCAAATAAATTCATGGAGAGTTCACTTCCTCTTGCAGTTGATACAGCCTTGCTAT